CTCTCTCTCTCTCTCTCTTTCTCTCTCTCTCTCTCGCGTCTCCTTCCTTAATTTGGAGCATATAGTCCTTCTCAATTGATTAAGTGATTACAGTACTTTCTGCGCATTTCATGTTCACTCTTGGTGAGGGATTTGGTTGATTGTTTGAATGAAATGGGAAAAGTCCTGTTCCACCTCCGGAAGAAGCCTCCCAACCTCCCACCCCCTTGTCGCAATTCGTTTCGCCGTCCTCGCTCAGTTGGCCATTTTTTCGGCAAAACGGCCCGCTCATCACCTTCGCGAAAGACAGGAATTAGTTTTACCCTGCCACAATGAGAATCGCCTCCGCTGCTTGCCTTTGATTACAAGTGGGCCGACGATTATGTCGGAGCTACGAGAGTATGACGTGCCGTGCTCCCGTTTGCCTCATGTGCACACGCATGCCATACACACAAACAAACAAACAGAGAAACCGACAAACAGGCACACACACACACACACACACACACACACACACACACACACACACACACACACACACACATACACACGTCTGCTGTGCATTGAAACAAGAAATTGTGATGATTATCGTTGAGTGACTTCAGTCCTTATATGCATGCCTTCTTGAAGTTCCTCTTTTGGTTTTCTGTCTGGCAAACAAAAAAGGGTGTCACTGTGTCGTAACTGACTTATTGTTTTTTTAACTTTTTTTTTTTTTTTCCCGAGATAACTGACTTATGGTTACTGGTGTTCTGCTGCAATGATCCCTTTTGTGCAACACAACTATCAAACTGCAGAATGTGTGGATCGACAAAGTGAGTATTTTCAAGACAGCCGATGGCGCGCTGGACGTGGTGAGGGCCTCGAGCAGTGTGACAGTCTCCCATTGCCATTTCGGTAAGCAGGTGAAGACGATGCTGGTGGGGAACGACGACGGCGGCAGCGAGGACAAGATTCAAACAGTTACTCTGTACGCCAACTTTTTTGAGGACTGCGTCTCTCGTATGCCACGTGTCCGCTACGGCACAGCGCACGTGTGCAGCAACGTGTTCAAACACTGGGGTCGCTATGTCCTTGGCGCAAGTAATGGCGGCCACATCCTTGCCGAGAACAACTACTTCATCCCTGGCTCCGACAATCAGATTGACCATTTCCATCCCCCGGACCCGAACGACAACTCGGTCATTTCGTTCAGGGGGAACCGTCTCTACGGGTCCGCTGTCCGAAACAGCAACGAGGAGGACAGGTTTGGAATACCCTTCACGTGTCCGGCTCTTGAGGAAGCCAACATCATATCGGAGGCGGGAGTGGGCAGTTGGTGTACGCTTTAAGTTGATGCTGCCATCATTCAACAAGCCCTAGTAGGCATGTCGAGCGTTCTAACACAAAGGCAGATTCTTTCTCAAAATCTTAATCCGAGTCGAAGTCTAACCTAAGCAATCAAGCAAGCTGGTGTCGTCGCTCAGGGCTTCAAGTTGATGCTGTCATCAGTCAAACCCGAAGCACAAAGCCGCCGATTCCTAATCTTAACCAAAGTCGCACCTAAGCAAGCAAAGCAAGCTGATCTTTTCATCACTACAAGCATAGCTGCACACGTGTTGCCCATCATGACAGTATGCTAGCGGAAGCAGCACGTTATATCCGAGCTGCCTTGCTCACGGTCATGCTACCTCTCCGTGTTCTATTCGAGGGACGTGCCCTCGTGCTGCTGACTTTGGGAATAAACAACCCCCTTAAAGTTTTTTTTTCGCGGTCTTTGTCAAACTAATGGAGAGCCGTGCCCTTGGACATCTTGCATGTGCTGCTCGGAGGGAAGCCTGGTCAGATTGCACACTGTCAGAGACAGTCAGACTGCTTATTAAGGCTTTCGGGCAGGGGGAGTCGACCTGTTTTCCTTCCTGCCACCGGTGGTATGCTCCTACTCAGACGCTACAAAGAAGACTCGAGGCGGTTTGTCCGCTCGAAGAAATTATAATTCTCACTCTTGGTCAAATTTTCGGTGAACTAATCAGAGGTCGAGATCTCACTCTCATTGGGATTCTCTATTTTTGGCCGACCTTTTTCTTTTTTTTTTTAGGTGATACTTGTACTCTTCTACGGCTCCAGAGCGAAGGATGCAGGCATCCCAGATAGGTGTACTGATTCGGTAGAAAGCACACTAGAAAGTTAGTAGAAACCCTCTCAGCGACGAGCTGCACATAATTCTTCGGCCCTAGTTTTACACTAGGGGTTTGACTTTTCCTGGCTGTACCTGTCCATTGATTACGGTCAAATGTGGTCAACAAAGTCGGTACTAGTGTGAACCCAGTCCGGCGGCCATGATCATGCTCTGCTGCTGGATGCCCAGTCAAACCCGGTTATCATGCTGCTCTGCAAACTCTTTGACAACCGGTTAATCCCGCGCTGCCTTCCGAGTCAAAGCCCGTTCTTCTCGTTCAATGCCAGTATTAATTTATTTTTCCGTTTGTCTCCATAAATCTGGCTCCGTAGTAGGAGGATTTTGGTCAATGCGGTGGCATTCCAGTCATTGACAACTGCATTGAACTTTGACTTTCGCTGTTTATCACGTTCCCTGAGTACAGCAAAGTCAACGCAAATAGCTGTGTTGACTTTTGAGTCAACGCAAATAGCTGTGTTGACTTTTGAGTCAATGCAAATAGCTGTGTTGACTTTTGACCATTGCTGATAATCGCTCGCGTTTTGTGAGTACTGCGATGAGTCGGAGGATTTCGGTCAACGCAGTCAAGCTGAGTCAACTGCGCTGAACTCTGACTTTCGTTCGCGGTTTACGGCATACCACAGGATAACCAGGCGTACCTCCACCACTGATAAGTGTGCGAGCACAACTCTAGCCTAGTCGTAAGCCTACCATGCATGGGTTACCGCAGTCTGTGAGTAACTCTGGGTAAAGTGCGTAACCGCGGTAACAGTTAGTTTACCATGGGTATGGGTTACTGCAGTCTGCAGTCTGTGAGTAACTCTGGGTAAAGTGTAACCGCGGTAACAGTTAGTTTACCATGGGTATGGGTTACTGCAATCTGCAGTCTGAGAGTAACTCTGGGTAAAGTGTAACCGCGGTAACAGTTAGTTTACAATGGGTACGTCTCGTCTCACCTTGCTAGCTTAGTTGCTGCTCTTAGCGAACTACGAAATTCCAAGTTCAGAAGTGAATGTGTTGTGTACCCCCGAAGGAAAGGTGATACTACTACTAATACACTTGTACTACGACTTTCCGAAGGGTAGTAGTTACGGTCAGATTCAACTGAAGAAGTCCTGGTGTGGCTAGGACTGCGGTAGTAAGGTTTGAAACAGAGAAGAGAGGCATGCTCATGCTGGTATTGCACCATCTGAATATGGACGCAATGGCGGCCAAATACGTACCAAAAAGTCCTTCTGTGAGTATGTACTCTGTCAGTCTGTCAGTCAGTCAGTCAGTCAGTTGCCTGACTAATGAACAGACTGGCCTATAAGGTGATAGGATAAGACTGCTAGTTTCGTCCGACACGTCCGTTTGTCCGTCCATTTGCTCATTTGTCCCTTCCTCTGCCTATAAGCCACCAGTACTTTTCCCACCCATTTTTCTCCGACACAGCTGGGCATGGTCCACGACTTCCCGGTTCACGTGCTAATGGCTGGCGGCAAGCCAAAAAAGAAACCGCGCCAAATCCACTTTTCGGCAAACGGAAGCATCTATGCACCCGTGGTTTGACAAACTGGGCAGCATGCCAGCCATGGGGTATAGTATATATCCTGTTGGGGGCCTGCTCGCTTTATGTCAGAGAGTTGGTGCACAAGGTCCGGCACGAGGGCAAAACGAGGGAGTCGACCAGATGGCGTAGTTGCAGTAGATGCTCGGCAACATGGAAAGTAGAGTGGCTTTGGATGTACTTTATCCACTAATTTAGTAGTACATCGTATTTATTAGTTCATTTAGTTGGTGCATGTTTCTTTCTTTAGGAATTATAGCATTTGATGCCCTTAGTACTTCATACTTAGCAGTTGCTAATGGGTGCTTAGTAGTTTGTACTGACTACTGGCTGACTCAAGTCAGACGATGAGTGAAATTAGAGCTTGGGGCTTCTACGAGTCCTTACGCGGTACTTTAGCGAAGTTTCGACTATGACTGAACCTGATATATGACACTGTACTTTAGCCCAAGTTAGACCATGAGTGAACCTGATATGCGTACTTTGTAGGAATCTGTACTATAAACTGTGTCTTATGCATGTATACTATGTAGATTATGTACGGTCAACCCCCGCGCAATAATCAGCACCCGGCACGCCGGTCTTCGTGATGCTGCCGTGTGGCGCAGCATCTGAATGCATGATCCGAGTGCTGCATTCTTGAACATCTTCACCACCTCCTCACCATAACCATCGCCATAGCTATAGCCATAGCTATAGCAATTAGCCATTAGCCATTAGCCATTAGCCATTAGCCATAAGCCATAAGCCATTAGCCATTGGCCATCGCCGCCACCATAGCCATTGTCGTCCCTACATAGTACATATCAGTTTTTGACACCACTAAGGTGAGGTTGAGACCGGAAGATGGCATGTCATCATGCCTTGTGCCCATGAACGGCCGCCCATAAGCTTCTTATGTTTTTTTGAAAAAAAAACATTGTAGACCTTAAGTTGGTCCTAAACCCTAAACCAAAATGCTAATTTTCATTGGTGTCCCTCTGTGAGAAAACGTGTGTGGAGACGTCCGTGTTTCCCGACGTCACATGTGTCTCGCCAAGAATCGTTGCCATCCTACTACATGTCACTCAACATCGACGCCGCTGAGGGTGTGCAATTTCAATCCTTATTAGAGAATTAATTTAGAATTTTAGAGGTATAGAAGACAAGTCTATCGAGTCCAGGAGGGCTTTCAAGTTTAACACTTCTTTTTCTGTTCAAGGCTTCAAGCAGAGACTTCCTCCACCCAGCTTCTCTCTGCTGTTTTGCAGGGAGCCACCAACTGGCATCAACCTCCTCCTCCTCTTTTTTTTTTTTTTTTTTGTTCTAATGAGGAGATTCTGAACCTTATAATCTCTCTCTCCTCTTTTGCAGGAGGCAGCTATCTATCTATGTTCCTCCCTCCACCCACGCCCAAGTCCCACTTACCTGAGTGCTCAATTCCCGACCTTCGATTAGCAAAGATCGGCGGCCAGAAATGAGGAATCGGGCTATTGGTAAGCGGGACTTGGCCCCCGTTCCCGTCATCCCTCTCTTGTCCTCCTATATCTTCCTCCCTCTTTCCGTTCGTCTCCTCTCTCTCTCTCTCTCTCTCTCTCTCTCTCTCTCTCTCTCTCTCTCTCTCTCTCTCTCTCTCTCTCTCTCTCTCTCTCTCTCTCTTTTCATGGACAGTTCGACAAGGTTTTCAAATTGGCGGCTTTTCTAGCAGTTAGCTCGTCAAATTGCGTCCGAGTTCCAGCCACACCTCATCAGTGGCCTCAAAAGCACTGAGGGACTGATTTTTCCAGCATCCGGAGATGTACACACAAGGAGAGGGAGAGAGTAGAGAGAGGGAGGAAGGGGAAAAAGGGGATTTCTGGGAGGACACGGGAGCAAACGGGGAGGTGGAGTGGAGGTGAGACAGGGTCGCAGGGAAGGGGGAGGGGGAGGGAAAGAATACTTCAACAAATGTGCCCTTTTCAGAGCATGCTCTTGCAGACAACAAAGAGAGAGTCTGACTCCTATGTTCATGTATGACTTTGTTCTTTTAGGAGAATAAAAATAAATGCTATCTACTATCTACTAACTAGTATTTATTGAATGTGACAGGGCCAGAAGGCCAGAAGGAAAAACTTTCTACTGCACAGTGCACACTGTTTCATCAACAAATTTCGTCTTACGTGTTCCTTTTCTTTTTCTCTCTTTCTATTTCTTTTCTTTTTCTTTCTTCCTGCTTCTTTTTCTTTTTCTTCTTTTTTTTTTTTTCTGTTCTTTCTTTTCTAAACTTTTTTTCCATTTTTCATTTTCTTCTTGCATTCGCAATAATCTGGGTTACATCTCATAGCGCGCCTCTGCTGGCCATTGTTTGCACTGTTCCTGTTGTTTTGCCGCTGCTGGCCATGTTTGTCTCCCGACAGACTGTTTTGCCGCTGTCTGCCCTCTTTGTTCCTTTGCATGACATTGTCTGTTTGTGTGTTTGTTTGCGCACTTGTTTGTCTTTTGTTCACACATTTATTTCTTTGTTTCCCCACCAGAACCAAAATTCCCAGTCCTCTTCCTCTTCCATCCAGCAGGCGGTAGTTTCGCGGACTTGCCCTGGTATGGATGGGAATGAAAAAGTGTGTAACGACCTGCAAAATCACAGTCTGCAAACCTTTCTGATTTCCGAGTTTTGCTGCTGGAATGTGTGACCTCCGGAGATTTCCGCCGCCTGCTGAGATTTCTAAGTCTGCCGCCGTCTGCTGATTTTTTTTATTTTTATTTTTTTATTTTTTTGAACTTCGTGCGGGGGTTGTATGCTTAGAAGGGTGATACGAGGATCCCCTCTAAGCATATCCCACCTTTTGGAGACTCCATCTATTGGTGGGGAGCTGCACCTGCTGGAAATCGGGTCCAGTGTCCCAGTACAGAAAAAATTGACATGCTTATCGAACCATGAGATTGTTTGTCTGCAAGGAGCTTCTGAACTCTACCGTCTTCACCCGAATAGAACGCCCGGTCATTATAGCCGTATCTGGACTGAAAATTGCACCAAATACGGCTATCATGACCTGGCGTTCTATTCGGGTGAAGACGGTAGTTTACCTTCCCCTGTTCGTTATCATTCCATTCTGTCTTAGTCCTACCATTCCTCACGTGCTTGTCAGTCGTTGATTTATCCCCTTGTACCATCGCCCCATCAGTTTCCCCTCAATCCCCGTGGGCTCAGTCTAACCTGAAAAGGCCCTAAGTCTGTATGCGGGCGTGTTTGCTGCTTCTCGTGTGCCTGTCTTTTAGTGCATGACTGCCTGAGCGTGTGTCTGACCCGCCAGGGTACGTGCATGATTGGGAGGCTCTCAGGGCCGGTACTTACCGGTCGCAGCAGGGAAACACCCAAGTAGCATAGGCTAGCACTCAAGTAGCGGTATTGTGGGCCCGCCGCATAGCACTTGCGTAGCGGTAGGGCGAGCAGACGAAGAGAAGAAGTTTGTAGTAACTTCGCGCCTTTAGAGGGCGTGTGAATTGTAGGAGTTCGGTAGGCCTGGGTCTAGGGTACCGATACGAGTAGTCTGAGTCTAGGGCCTGTAGCGGAAGATACCAGACCTGCAACGACGTTTCCCTCCGGTTGCTTGGGAGGCTGCGCAGCCTGGAAGTCACCACCCAAGAGGGAACTTGGCCGGCATATCTCCAGGAGGAGCGCTGGACTCGTTTCCAGTGCGGAAGCTTGGGCGTCATGCTGCTGGAGGGCTAAGAGGAGCAGCGCTGGTGTAAGCAGCGCCAGGGGAGGAAGACGAGTGCTGGGCGCTTGGCCTGGCTATGGCGAGCAGCCCAGCTTGGAGGAGGGGGTAGGAGGGGGTCTGGAGGGAGGAGGGGGTAGGAGGGGGTCTGGAGGGGAGTGGAGGGGGTACTTACCTGTCTATGGTGGACGTCGTCTTCATGTCCTTGGGAGGCGCTGCACGTGGAAGGCCCCAGTAGGGGTTGCGCTGCATCAAGAGGGCTTAAGGGCAGAATCAGGTATGGCGGCCTGAGAGGCAGAGGACATATCTGCTTTAACGGTCTTTTGAACATCGGGGCAAGGCCCCAGTAGTCCGCCATAGCCTTCACCCTACCGGAGGTGATTGTAGGTGAAGGCCATGGCTATGGTGGACCTCATGTAGTGCTTGCAGTAACAGGGATTCAGATATTGGTTCTGGTTCAGCCATTCAGTGTTATTTTATTATTATTATTTATTAAGGAATAAATGTTGGCGGAGATAAGGAGCATGGAGCAAGTGGCAAGAGAAAGGGGAATTGTAATTGCTCTTTTGCTGCTGTACATCTTCTTCTTCTTCTTCTTCTTCTTCTGCTTCTTCTTCTTCTTCTTCTTCTTCTTCTTCTTCTTCTTCTTTTCTTCTTTCTTCTTCTTCCTTTTGTCTCTTTCTCTTTCCAAGTTCTTTCATTTCTTTTGCAAATTGTGTATTTGCACTTTGGAATGGCCAGGATCATAACAATTGGTATCAGTGCGAGGTTACTTGCTGGCGAGAGGAGTCTTCTTACCCTAACCCTAATTCCCAGTTAGTTAGGCTGACTAGACCTCGGAGTAGGGTTGGAGGTTAGGGTAGGTGGGGCAGCAAGGTAATGTTGGAGCTGTTCCCCAGCTGGCTGAGCCTTGTAGGGTCGACATATGACCCAGCCAGGTTGTTTGAGTGAATGGTTGGGAGGTGAGACACTAAGGAGGCTGTTTGGAGTGAGAGAGAGGGAGTAGAGAGTGAGAGGTACTCGCACCTGGAAAGGCTGGAATCCAAGCTGGAAGAAGACACTGAGTGACTTTTGGGCTTCGTTCCAAGAGGGAGACTTGGCTCGGAGTAGCCATAGCTGCATCAAATTACTGCACGTTGCCAGCGGATCTTCAACATGATCAATGTGGGTTGAGGCAGTGTATATAATTGGTCTAGGTAGACCCTCCTAGTAATGCTAGGACACTTCGTGTGGAGGTAGGTAGGGGTCAGGAGGACCCATGAGAGAGGGGGATGAGTCATTACGCCATGTTAAGCGGCTGGGCCTCAATAGTGTGTAGACTTGGGTTTGGCCATGGTGGTTTTGCATGGTGCTGCATGGCATGTTGGGGGTATGCCGGGCTCTTTTCCTAGCCTTTGCGGTCTTGGTTGTGTGCATGTGTGTAGACTGCTCTCTTCTCTTGCCTGATGGATGGATGGATGGACGAAGTATCTTGGTTTGAACAGCATGTCTTTCAATAGTGCTCTGTCTTTTCTTTTTTGCGGTTTTTTTTTTTTTTTTTT